GACCTTAAATTGAGCGTTGGATTTTGTAATGCGGATTACAAATTGTTGTGGTTGTTGCGTAGCAGATGTGTGGGGATTACAACAAATTGTTGTGGTTGTCGCGTAGAAGATTTGAGGGGATTTAAAATTGTTGTGGCTGCACCCCACCCCCTAATACTAATTTACAGTGATCGGTTTGAAGAACTAAAAACTGTAGAAAGTATTCACTACACTAGAATGAATTATTTCCTTGAGTAATCTTCTAAGGTCATTAGTCTGTATAGTCCTTCCCTCGTCATAAACTGGAAACAGGATTAAAATAAGTAATTTGATTATTCCAGGAGACACAAGTTCCAGACCGCGCTTATGTTCCAAACCTGACACTGAGTGTCAGAATTGGGCCAAATCACGGGTTATTGCCTCCCTTGTAATAGATATTTAAGATTGATTGCTGCAAATTTGTTAAAAACGAAATAGAATTATTATGAAAGCACGATAGTTCTATAAAAGAAAAGATTTCATATTTTCAAATTTGTTTTTTTAATGTTGCCAAAAAAATCTTGCGTTTTTCACTGATTATGTCTTCATCAACGTTAAAGAAAACAAAATAAACGAATTAGGAGACAAGAAGGTCCAAGAATTTTACTACAAAGGAGGAGGAGAAGGAGAAGGAGATTAATGGGAAAAAAGGGAAATAGCGCCAGGGGACAGAGAATCAAGGGNGGCCAAGGGGGAAAGGGAATCAAGGAGAAATGGGGTCAAGGGGGTAGTGGGTAAAGGGTAAAGGGGAAAGGGGTCAAGGGTTCAAGGGGAAGGAGGGTTGGTGAAACCATGTGTTAATCCATATTTTCCTGAGTTTTAAGTTCATCTCTTCCCCCCTCAGCTCCCCCTAGATCCCCTGGGGAACACAGGCCTTGTCCAGACATCATGTAGTTCATCTAGCTCATCGAGTTCATCTAGTTCATCTAATAGGTTATCTAGTTCATCAAGTTCCTCTAGTTCATCTAGTTCCTCGCGTTCATCTACAACAGTGGTCAGCGTTTATATCAATACAATGAAGACGACTTTTCTACTTTAGTTTTAATTTCTAACAAGCTTATTTATATATCAAGTTTACGAGTAAGCAAAGAGAAGCTGTTAATTGGCAGCATTTTTGTTTCCATGTTATATGGGTATATATGGGTATAATTTCCTGTTTGAAAGCTTGGAAAAAAATCAAAATTAATAAATAAAGTAATCTTCATTGCATTAATATATAAAAAACGACTGTAGTTTATATTTGTTCTAATTTCTAGAAAATCTGTGGAAATATTTTCTAATATATTCTAGAAATTAATAAACCAATAAATATTCTTTTCATTAAATGGCATAACACCATCTAGAAGTGGATGGTTTCTTCAGGTGGCCTTGCATTTAACGAGTGGCATGTCCTATTACAAAAGATACCCTTTATAACTTAATCTGAGTAAACAGGGAAAGGTAAATCAATTTCTATTCTTGGAAATGCTGAATGCTGACTATTTCCTTCAATGTTCACAAAACCACAGTTGAAAATATTCAATTTGCACATTTAGAAAATGTAGGACAACATTCAATCTTGACTTTTCAACAAATTTTGAGAATCTAAAGCTAGCTCTGTGCCTCAATCACCTATAAAAACTTCATGCTGAACAACATAGAAAGTTTGCTGCCTAGCCTTTAATACGATATTTAGTGCATTATTTTGTAAATCTGAAATAATTAAATGAATGAAATTCAATTAAACATTATAATATTATCAACATAATTGTTGCTAACAACTGTCGAAAAGCTTAACTAAATGACAAATATTTTTAAAATGAAACTTTACAAAATATTTGACAAATTATAAAACAATCAATAAAAGTACATACGACGTAAAGTTTGCAATTAAAAGTTCACAAAAATTTTAAAAAATGATTCAAATCAATGTCAAAATATTATACATACATAAGTGAGTGTCTCTTAACAATATATATCATCAATTTCATCAGTGAAAAGTATTTTGGCGTTTTACTTCGCATAAATTTAATTCCTGTCTGCAATCTATGTTTTCATTGGTGTTGGCAGAGTACGATACAATGCCGCAAACTATTTTCAAAATAGAAAGAGACTGCAACTTTAATACTTAAAAACTAAAAGTGTATTTTTATTTTATAATTTTGATTTCAAAGATTTTTGGCCCCGTTGTTATTAAAGTGTAACAGAGCTAATGTAGAGTAAAATTATTTTTTAAAAAATTAGTCCCGATGAACTAAAAAGAGTGAGAATCCTAAAATTTATAAATCAAAGACGATCTAGACTTTTCTCAAACTCAACGCGGTAAATGTTGCATCATTTATTTTGATCTCAAAGGATAAAAGCCTTGAAATCGAGAAACGTAAACTAGAGCAGGAGTCCAGCTCTTCCAAAAAGTGCAAGTTTGCACAGGTTATGCGTTAAAGCTGCAGTTCTATCAAGCACATTCTAATATTGCGGTGAAGCGCCATTTGTTATGTTTATTTATAGTTTTTGTTTTCAATTAATTTGGTGAAACGCCGTTCTAGTTTTCCTTCAACATTTTTTATATTTTTTATACTTTTCTTTCACGATGAAACGCTATAAATAAGGTGTCCGAATTATTCTCCTTAAAAATTGGTCAAATGAGAATTCTAAGAATTCAATTTTAAAACTGAAAATTCAAACTACAACAATTATCAAATTGAAAAGCTTTAAAGTTTTAAATTTAGGCTTCGAATACTTTAATCCACCAATTGAATCCAACATTTGAACTGTAAGATCTTAGATTTGAGACTTTTAAACACTACAACTAGTCTAGTCTCACTAGTCCTTAATAATGGTCTATCTTATGTTTCTGTAAAATACTAATCGCAGATTATGTAAATACATGGATCTCATGCAACTAGTCCTTACATAATTAATCTACCTTGTTTTAAACACATTTCGCCAACAATTCAAAACGAGATAATACTGTTACTTAATGGTGAATCGCCTAATCATTTTATTTTTCCAATTTTAGCATTTTTTGGCAATTCCTTCTGATCCCTGTCACAGTTTCTGCTTCTGATCTTTTCTACTTATACTTTACACTAAAACCTTAAAATGTACATTGTAAGCATTTTTTTTCTCTTCGTTCTACAGTGGTCTATCATTAATGCTCATGTTTAAAATACCTCTCGTTAACACTCCAAACCGAGACTCCATTGGCTACTTAATGGTGTATCGCCTTATTGTTTTTATTGTTCCTATTTTTTCTTTATTCATGTACGTTATTCGCATCTCGTGTTGTTGTTTTTATGTTTTTTCGGATCACCGTCTTAGATTCGGCCTCTGTTGCAATTGGTCTTTATTTGTACTGAAAAGTGAAAACATATCCCTACGAGCCCTCATTGAATGTTGTCAGCTCATTTTACTGTCATTACTGAATTTACTTAACTTCAAAATAAAAGTGAAAATTGTGTCATTTACCAAATCTCTAAGATTTCCACATAAATAAACAGATGTTCCATGTAAAATATTAAAATCAAAATGTACCTATCTTTGATATATATATATAAAGTTTACTTGTTGTTTTTGTACTTTTGACCAATAAAAAGATTTGAATAATAATAATTTATTTTGATCTTCACTTTTTTGTGTCAGGCGTAGTTTCCCTTCCATTTCATACCAGTTAGTCAAAATACCACGGAAATAAATGAAGAAGCAGTCATGAATTTTAAATTTGGTTATTTCCTAATATACTATTTTTGGACCCTCCCCCCATATATCAATTTTGTACATGGATCATGCATATATAACATAACATAATTGCACATATGGCCGCAGTGCCCGGCCCCCTAGCCATTCCTAGCCGCGGCGCTCGGCCCACAGCCTGTCCTAACCACAGAGCTTGGTCCCTAGCCTGTCCTAGCCGCAGAGCTCGGCCCAGAAAGTTTGTTAATTTTCTTTAAACTAATAAGTAACATAGGCAGAGTCAGGCGCAGTGATCGACCACCTAACAAAAAATCACATCAGTGAACAGTTTTGTTAATAATAGTGTCAATGCATTGATGCCTCATTTGCGCTTAATGTATCTTGTAAGGCCGAAACATGTTAGGTATATTTTTTTAACTTTAATAATAGTTTATTTTTGGATAAAGATTGTGGGCACAAGCTCACGCATACAAATAAAAACGAAATATCAATAAATCTATTTCCAGTTTGTTATCAAAGTCTTTCTATTATTTTTTCTGCTCAAGATTAGTTAAAAGTCATACACTTTAATAAAATTAAAATCAAAAACCTGTATTCCATAAACAGCTATTAGATCATCCTCTCCTCCCACCACTATATACCTACAGATTAAACATTTACTGTTTTTGTAAAAAAAATCATGCTTTCGACAAATATTTCTCTAATTACAGGATTACTCACAAAGACTAAGACTGTAATGACGACCTGTAACTCTTTATTTACAATAATAGGAAGACTGAACTTTTGATTTCTGCCTTCAAAGTCTTATATATAATAAAACAAGACATTCGTATATATGTTCCCTCTGGCCAGCCAAACGGCTGGAACGAATGGGCTGAAATTTTTTGTGGGAACCCGTGGGTGCCCAGAGGTAACATAGGCTAGAAGCTTATAAATGGAAAACTAAATATTTTGGCAGAAAAGAAATAAGCTTACAACTGCTGGGAACCATGAATAGAGACTGAATTAATTCCCGACAGTAGTTTCTAAAGACTCATCTTTGTGGTTAACCCTGCAACTAAATTTAGGCCCCCCCCTAGAAAGAAAATAAAGTACCTTCCATCAGGAGACCAAGCACAACACAACAATCCTCCAAAATATGATCTAAAAATTAAAAAAATATTAAAAGGCGAAAGAATGTAAACATCAATGAGCAAAAAATGTACCAAGAGAAAATGGAATGAATGAAAGGATGTTAAGATACCTGGCTGAACCAATTAGTTCCATAGTTTCGAAATTAAACACTCGCAGTACTCCGTCCTAAAAACAGTGAATAAATAAAAAGAAGAATAGACTAATAGACGAGTAGAAGAATAGACGAATAGATGAGTAGACGAATAGACGAGTAGACGAATATGCGAATATCCGAATAGATGAATAGACGAATAGACGAATAGACGAGTAGACGAATAGCCGAAAAGACGAATAGACGAATAGACACATAGACACATAGACGAATAGACAAATAGACGAATAGATTAATAGACGAATAGATGAATATATTAATAGATGAATAGATGAATAGATGAATAGATGAATAGATGAATAGATGNGGTAGGTAGGTAGGTAGGTAGGTAGGTAGGTAGGTAGGTAGGTAGGTAGGTAGGTAGGTAGGTAGGTAGGTAGGTAGGTAGGTAGGTAGGTAGGTAGGTAGGTAGGTAGGTAGGTAGGTAGGTAGGTAGGTAGGTAGGTAGGTAGGTAGGTAGGTAGGTAGGTAGGTAGGTAGGTAGGTAGGTAGGTAGGTAGGTAGGTAGGTAGGTAGGTAGGTAGGTAGGTAGGTAGGTAGGTAGGTAGGTAGGTAGGTAGGTAGGTAGGTAGGTAGGTAGGTAGGTAGGTAGGTAGGTAGGTAGGTAGGTAGGTAGGTAGGTAGGTAGGTAGGTAGGTAGGTAGGTAGGTAGGTAGGTAGGTAGGTAGGTAGGTAGGTAGGTAGGTAGGTAGGTAGGTAGGTAGGTAGGTAGGTAGGTAGGTAGGTAGGTAGGTAGGTAGGAAGGAAAGTTGGTGAGTAGGTAAGTAGACTTATAGGTACCTGGTATTGAGGTAGTACAGGAGTACACTCTGTATCTGCTAGGTAGGTATAAATGTACCCAGAAGAATGACTCACAACAAACATGTCTCCTCTTCCTGGAGCCCATTTTATACAGGTCACCTAGATTAGCATTTTTTTAGACTTGGACTAGGGAACATACAGCGTTCAGTATCAAATTGCATTATCTTAAAGCTTAAACAGGAAAATACGTGCAGAATTCTCAAAGAATCCTGCATTTTGTGCACAACAAGTTTCAAATTAGCCGTATACAGTTTCTAAAAATTGTATAAAATGGGGGCTTATCCGCTAAAATCAAAGTGTGACCAAAAAAAACTTTAAATATAAGCTCATGTTTCTTACCTTTGTTTTATCCACCAATCTTTCTTCGTTGTACAATCTGCTTAGCTCCTAAATAATAAACAATTGTGTACAGAAGTCCATTGCAGTACAGTGCACACGGAGAAGTGTACACTGTGAAGTAAACCGGACAGAATCTATACTAACCTTATAAATTGAAATTGAACAAATCATCAAATTATAAACAAAAACTTTTTTGGCTGCAAATTTTGATGTTGAAAACATGAAGACTACATTTTACAACAAATTTTTTAAGCTAATTTTAGACAAATTAAAATTAAAAAAAGTCTCTATTTTTTATCAAAAAAGAGTTAAGCTTTAAATAATCATGAGTGAATGAAATATTCACGCTTTTAACTTTAAAAATTGATTATTTTCAATATGGCTTATCTATTAAGAAACTTGTGCATTTCTGCTTAACAGAGGCAGACAAACAATGTGAGAATTTCAATCTAGGAATCTTGTGAATCGGACAATGGACCTGCCTCCAGTTTGAAACCAGTTTCTAATAGTTTTGACAGCTAACCATGCTAATGATGGTTGCAGTCAGATAACAGGGACAGCAAAAATACCTTGAGACGGCTGACCGTCCTGTTGATGATGATTGGTTGCCGTCAAAAAACAGGAACAGGCAATGTTCCGAAAATTTACCTGGAGATGGCTGACCATGCTGATGATGATGATGGGTTGGGTCAAATATAACTAACAGGTTAATCAAAAATACCTTGAGACGGCTGATTGTGATAATGATGATATGATAGGTTGCGATCAAATAACAGGAACAGGCAATGTTTAGAAAATTTACCTGGACATGGCTGACCATGCTGATGATGATGATGGGTTGGGTCAAATAACAATAACAGGTTCATCAAAAATTCCTTGAGACGGCTGATTGTGATAATGATATATGATAGGTTGCGGTCAAATAACAGGGATGGGCAAGGTTCAGCAAGTGATAATGATGATGATGATGGGTTGTGTCAAATATCTGGAAAAGGCAAGGTTAAAAAAATCTACCCGGAGACGACTGACCGTGATGATGATGGTGATCGGTTGCGGTCAATTAACAGGTACAAAGAAGGTTCCGAAAATCTACCCAGAGACTGCTGACTGTGATCATGATGATATGATAGGTTGTGGTCTAATACGTAACAGGAACAGGCAAGGTTCAGCAAATTAACCTGGAAACGGCTGACCATGTTGATGATGATGATATGATAGGTTGTGGTCTAATACGTAACAGGGACAGGCAAGGTTCAGCAAATTTACCTGGAGAAGGCTGACCATGTTGATGATGATGATGGGTTGCTGTAAGATGACCAGGACGGGCCCATGTACACACATACCCCTCCTGACATGCTGTTACTATACACTCCTCCCTGTAACGGAGTCAATTAGCTAAAAAACTAAAAACAAACATGCATCAGAATAATCTATTAAACAATCAATCAATCAATCGATCAAACAATCAATCAAACAAAAGTAAAACAATCAAACAACCAAACAATCAAAAAGTTAAACAATCAAAAAATCAAACAATCAAACAATCAAACAATCAAACAGTCACACATTCAAACAATCAAACAGTGAAACGATCACACAATCAAACAGTCAAACAGTCAAAAAGTCTAACAGTAAATCCGCTGAAACAGTCAATAAATAAAACAATCAAATTGTGAAACAATCCATCAGTCCATCCAACTTATAACTGCCCAACTGATACTCTGAAAAATTCATGGGACGAAAAAAAATCATGCTAATGTAAGTTCTGGGTCAAATCACGGTTTGAAACTTTCGTCCCCTGATGTTTATTTTGTCTGTTTGACCTGAATATCAAGGCAGTAAGTCTTTCGTGTGCTATTTTCTTCATAACTGCAGGTTCAAGAACAGGCGTCTCATGCAGCCGGGGGCATCCTACATGTTCACACATTTCAAAGGGACTATTTTCAAATTTGGACAACATTTTGAAAGTTTAAGACAAATGTCAAACTTTTTATTTAAAAACTGTAGTAAAAAATTGTTCTTCTTTGAAAAAAAAATTCAGCTCTAAAAGATATAAATCATTATTCCAAACAAGGTTTTCTCTCTTTTTTTAACTGCGTCCTAAACATTAATGTTTCAAAAGTCGAAATAAAAATATCAATTATATTTTCTGAGAATTCTAGATTTTGGAAATTTTAAATTTTCTTCTTACCTTTTTAAAATCTCACCTAAATGATGATAAATATATTTTTATTATTAAAGGAACATGTAAGCGTAATTTCAAGTGACCCTCCATGTAAAGATTGGCAATGCCCGATTCACAACGGCACCCTTGCCACTTTATCTGATCAAAAATAAGGAAGGTATTGTTGGTTTTCGAGGTTTATATAAGTGTTTAATTATGATAATTCCCATATGTTTTCCTGCAGTAGAAATGCGCAATCAAACAAACCACAACTGAAAGAAATTAGTTTTCAAAACTAAAAAAATTGACTTAATCAGACAAAGCTTTTAAGGGTGCCGTTGTGAATCGAACATTGCTAACTTTGCATGAAGAGTCACTTAAAATTACGCTTACAGTCCCTTTAAAATCCATTAAAAAATATTGAATCTACCTGGAGAGCCTAATGTATCTTGCACAGCTGTATCTGGGAACCCCTGGCTCCGCCCCCCGGTATCCCGCCCTCCCTTCCCCGCCCCCTCCTTCTTCTCTCCCCGACCAGGCAGAGAGAAGGCTCGCTTGTGTCCGGCATTATCCTGCAACCAAACCAAACCATTTTATTTTTAGAATAGGGGGAGTGTTTAAGAATTAAGAATAATGAGAGCGTTTATGGATTTAGATTAAAAGGGTTTTAATGGATTTAGAATAAAGAAGTCTTAATTTATTTAGAACAAAGAAGCTTTAATAATGGATTTAGAATAAAGAAGTTTCAATGGATTTACAATAAATAAGTTTTAATGGATTTAGATTAGAAGAGTTATAATGGATTTAGAATAAATAAGTTTTAATGGATTTAGAATAAATAAGTTTTAATGGATTTAGAATAAAGAAGTTTTAATGGATTTAGAATAAAGAAGTTTTCATGGATTTAGAATAAAGAAGTTTTAATGGATTTAGAATAAAGAAGTTTACATGGATTTAGAATAGAGAAGTTTTAATGGATTTAGAACAAAGAAGTGTTAATGGATTTAGAATAAAGGAGTTTTAATGGATTTAGGGATTTAGAATAAAGAAGTTTTAATGTATTTAGAATAAAGAAATTTTAATGGATAAAATAAATTTGGTAAAAAGAGAGTGTTCATGAATTTAGCAAAAAGAGAGTGATCATTTATTCAGAAAATAGGGAGATTTAATGAATTTAGAATAAAGAGTTAATCCATTTAGAAAGGAAACAAATCATAACATTCAGTTAATTGACGATAATTTTATTAAATCCAGAATATTTGCAATTTAATATTTAAATGATTTGATTTGGGTTGGATGAGTTAGTCTGATTCAACTTTCTTTGCATTTATTTAGAAAGTTACGATTAATTTGACTTCGACTTAATTTAGTTTAATTTGAAACATTTTATCTGGATTGTTTTTTCTTCCTTAGAATGAGGAGAAGAGAAGTTTAAAGTTGAAAGTTTTTGTGACAAACTTGACGAGGAACTAGGCTTCTCTATACATTCATATATCAGGATTAGATAACAACAACAATAACAAAAACAAGAACAAAACATCATTAATAACAAATAAAAATAACAACCATTGCAAAACAGTAACAATAACAATAACAAAAACAATAAATAAAAACAACAACAACAACAACAATAACAATCAACAACAATAACAATAACAATAACAATAACAATGACAATAACAAAACATCAATAATAACAAATAAAAATAACAACCATTGCAAAACAGTAACAATAACAATAACAAAAACAATAAAAATAACAAAAACAAAACATCAATAATAACAAATAAAAATAAAAACCATTGCAAAACAGTAACAATAACAATAACAAAAATAACAACCATTGCAAAACAGTAACCATAACAAAACATCAATAATAACAAATAAAAATAACAACCATTGCAAAACAGTAACAATAACAATAACAAAAACAATAAAAATAACAATAACAAAACATCAATAATAACAAATAAAAATAACAAACATTGCAAAACAGTAACAATAACAATAACAATGACAATAAAAACTACAACAAAAATAAGAACCATGACAAAAAATATCGATAATAATAAACATTGAAATCAATAATAATAATAAAAAGGGCAAAAAATAACATTACCATTAGTTCCAATCAATCAATCAATCAATAACAACAAAAATAATAAGAATAACATAATGAATAAAACACGAACAAAAAAAACAAGAAAAACAATTCTGAATATAATATATTCCTGAACTGACTGAACCAGTACCACTGCTTCCATTATCTGCGACTAAACCTGTGAACATAAAAACAAATATTTAGAAATTATAAAATCAATAAACATATTGAAAATTGTCAATATCAAAAAAAGTGTCCAATAAAAAAAGTTCTTGATATATACTTTTCTTATTTCAGGAGGATATTAAAGGAGTTTAAAAAATTACATTTTTAAAATTTTTCCGAAAACAATTTGATTTAAAAATAAACTAACCTGAGTCCTTTGAGGAGACACTACTTGCCTCATCTTTACTTTTTGTCTTACACTTAACCATACTCTAGATAGATAGATAGATAGATAGATAGATAGATAGATAGATAGATAGATAGATAGATATATAGATATGAACAAGGTTATAATGCAAGGAAAGTTATTTCAGAGGTGTACGCATCTTTTGAACTGCAGTGTACTGTCTTTGGGCGGTAATGTAAACACAAGACGGATGTCGAAGTCTGACATGGGATCCATCTTTCACATAAAAAATCAATGAAATATTCTGGTCATAGAAAACTATTATGTGAATTATCAAAATTATCAAAATTGAATGCCTTTAACCTCCACGGATACTTAACGAACACTGATGCATCTATTCTTGTTTACAAATTCCGCCCAGAGAGAACTGGTTTCAATATGTACGCAGAGTATACGCAACTGCAATTAACTTTCCTTGCGTTATAACCTTGGATATAAAGATAGATAGATATAAAGATATAAAGATATATAGATATATAGATATATGGATATATAGATATATAGATATATAGATATATAGAAAGATAGATATAGCATAGATAGACAGACAGATAGATAGATAGATAGATAGATATAAAAATAAATAGATATAATAAAAAGATTGACAGATAAACAGATAGGTAGACAGATGAATGAATGATAGATAGACATACTGTTATATTGACAGGCGTACAGACAGACAGATAGACATATAGACAGATAGGTAGACAGATGAATGGATAGAAAGAAAGACGGATAGAAAGATAGATAGATACCTGTGAAAGTTTAAGTATGTCTTCTGTAAGATCCCATAAACATAACATTGTATCCTGTCCCACACTTCCGAACCTAAAAGAAGACGACTTTCAGCAATTTTAATAAAATACAACTAGGCTTTCAGTCTTACATGGCTCTTTGATTCTAAAACGGCAGTCACTTTTTCGTATTTAAAAAATAACAATGTAAAATCTGGCAGATTTTTATGTTTTTACTGGTGGATTTCCAATTTTTCGACAATTAATATTTTGGTTAGGTCAACATTTCCACATTTTGACCGATCTGTAGCTCAATTTCCCTGTGGTAATGTGAGATACTACAAAATAATTATTTTGGATACCAGAAAATTTGTACGTAGATCACTGCAAACAAACAAGAAGGAGAAGGTCATGCAAAATTGCTTGTTCAACCATGTGGTACATTTAAATTTCCGAGCCGGGTCAACCTTTCCCGTCCTAGTTTGTACTATACCTAGCTCTATGGACAGGACCAGCCAGTGCAATAAGGTTAACGCGGTCAGACTTTATGCTTCATATAGGTTGAATTTACTTTCACTACAGGGGCAGAGGTGCGTGAGCTCCTCTAGTTTAGATGTTACGTGCACAAGTATGAGAAAAATAAGTTTATCTAGGGACATACTAAATATTTAAAATATTTTATTCTTCTCAATAGCTTTTCAGTTAAAAGAGTTTTCATTCAAAACATATAATCTTATGTGCAATTTACTTTCGTTAAACGCGAGATTTAAAACAGCTTTAGATTAGTTCCAAAAAGCGTCCAAGATTAAAATTTGTGACAATTGCGAAAATGAAAAAAACTTGAATTGTTTCAAAAATGGGTTTTTATAAAAAAATGTTTTAACTTTAGAAAAGAAGTAGATATTGTTATTTTTAGTTTTCGCCGTGCTTAATACTATGTTGGAAATAGTTTTTTTTTTAAATTGATATTTGCACTCGGGACAAGGAGAGTTACTAAAACGTTGATCATTATCAGTGTCAGGTTTGGAACATAAACACGGTTTGGAACTTTCTTCCCCTGTAGTTACTGATAAGTTTAAATTGTTATGAAAGTGACATTGTTTTGATAAGCCAAAAGACAGAATTCAGTTATGAATGGTTCTAATCTGTCTTAGTATAAATCTTTCGAATTCATCCTACAACGTAATTGGCAATATTCTCATATTTTTTTAAGAGCTTGCAACATTTAGGTCATCGTGCTATACAGAAGAAAAAAAACACTGTAGAAACCAAATTAATTTCAAGTTGAACCTGTAGCAAGTAACGTTGTGATCCTCGACAGCGGAATCTCGGCAAGAAACCTTCCGCCGTCTCCGGTCTTCATCCTCCGCCCCTCGCCTCTCACCCGGCAACATCGGTCTGGAGATAAAAACATTAATGTACACACTGTTAAAGAGACCTTTATAACATTATCAAAAAATGAAAATGCTGTAAATTAATTATCATTATATTCAGAAAACCTCGGCTGCACCAATTGTCAATTTTGCAAATGTAAAACCGAAGATAAATATTTGTATGAACAACGGTTTAAAGGAGCTGTAGAGTGTAGACGTAATTTCAAGTGGCATATTCGATTCACACCAATAACAAGTGTCGTAACCAATTGGTACATTACTAGCTGCTATGGCTATTTTTGACGAAGTCTCAGTCCTGACTTAAACAGGTGTTTGCTTGTTTGCTTATTAGCTTTTTAGGATCAAGAATGAATGAGTTATCAAATATCAATGTTTAAAAATCAATTTTTCTAAATTGTGGTTTCTCTACAAACGTGACTTGTGCATTTTGTTTTGCAGGAACAATTGGAGGAAATTATTAGAAATAAACTCTTTTCAAGCTAATGTGACGATATCTTCCAAATCATTGATCAGATCAGGATTTGATGGGTATTGGTTACTGCTGTAAATTGACCTTTTTTTAGATTTAGGATTTTTTGGAATTCATTTATAAATATTTTACAAAAGAGAAAAAAAAATGTTTTCAAAGAGCTACTATCGGGTTTTTGAAGTTTTTCTTCAGTAAAAAGAAAGTTTGAAATATCACTAGGTGTATTCCAAAGGGCTTAGCTATATTTTTCCTAGTCACAATTTGCCTAGTCACAACTTGCCTAGTTCACTTTTGCCTAGGTAACATTTTGCCTAGGTAACGATTTGCCTAGTTCAAGTTTGCCTAGGGTAACATTTTGCCTAGGGTAACATTTTGCCTAGGTAACGCAAAAGCATGTTTTTTTGCCTATTGCTATTTTTTATAAAAAACAAATTTTGTCAAGAATTAAACATTTTTTTAAAGCTTAACCAGATAAATTTTAATGAATTAAAATTAATGAATTGAATTGTTTTCTGTACAGCAATTTTAACATTCCTGTCATGTATCAGATATACATATATATATTTTTCAAATTCATTTTACATAATCATGGAGTATACATAGGAATACATACAGGTGATCTTTATTTATCATTATTTATCTTCTGCTTTCGGCATGGTATGGAAAGCTTCTGCAACAGCCATTACCAATGTGTCTCTCCTTCTGATTGGGTTAAAGGAAACTGAATGATTTTCAAAAATTTGCAAAGTTTTTGTTAAAAAATATGCGGATTTTTAAAAAAAAATTCTCGGATTATTGAAAAAAAATCTCGGATTGATGAAAATTTCTTTGTGAAAAAATTATTGAATAGGCAAAAAATTCGCTCTTTTGTTACTCTAGGCAAAATGTTATTAGGCAAAATGTTACCTAGGCAAACTGTTGCCTGGACAAAATGTGACTGGGCAAGTTGTAACTAGGCAAAATGTGACTAGGCAAAATGTGACTAGGCAAAATGTGACTAGGCAAATTGTGACTAGGCAAATTGTGACTAGGCAAAATGTAGCTGAGCCATTCCAAAGATATAGAAATAAGAAAATTAAAGTTTATGGCAAATATTCAACTCTAAATCAAATCAAATCACAAGGGGCGGGGATGACAATGGGCTCCAGTAGTGGATTGGAGGTTCAAGTCCTTTCCGTGTCCTGGTTTTTCAGCCTGGACTTCTTTTTATATTTAGGGAAAAGTTACATCAACCGTTTACTGTAAGGCGCGAAGTTCCTTGCCACATGACCAAATTTGAACCATGCCTCACTTTTGGACCTCCTCCATGCGAAATTTACCCCTTAATTGGGCAAAAGTTGCATGGCTGAGGTCTCCCCAGCGAGTGTTTAGATTCAAATGTGAATTTTGAATAACTAGGATTATGTAGCGTAATATTTAAACTTGTTTAACTAGTAAATTTGCTATTAATGTACGTCAATGATATTAGTTTAAATAATAATTGGTTTGCTACTTAGTTAAGTGTAAGTTCTTTCAAGAGAAGTAACAGGTCTTGTCAAGGAATAATATTTGTTTAATCAAGAACAAGTCTAGTAATATTATAAATGATCATCTAGTTTCAAATATCCTGAAATTTTTTTTCTGTTTTTAAACCCTATTTGTTATAATTATTACTTACCTTTGATTTTCTGAGTTGATGGGCGTGTCCCCCTCCTCCCCCTGCCTAACCCTGGTGCCCCTGGCTACCCTGGGCGGGGAGGAGGAGACACACCCCTTCTCTGCCTGAAGTCTAGGGGTGGGGGGTGGAGAGTTTATAGACTGGGGTAAACCTAATCCCACCTCCTCTTCAGATCCTGACAAATTAAAGGGATTGTTTAGTCATGTAAAGAGACTGTAGACGTAATTGTTCAAATTAAAGGGACTGTAGACGTAATTGTTCAAATTAAAGAGACTGTAGACGTAATTGTTCTAATTAAAGGGACTGTAGACGTAATTGTTCTAATTAAAGGGACTGTAGACGTGATTGTTCTATTTAAAGGGACTGTAGACGTAATTGTTCAAATTAAAGGAACTGTAGACGTAATTGTTCTAATTAAAGGGACTGTAGACGTAATTGTTCTAATTAAAGAGACTGTAGACGTGATTGTTCTAATCAAAGAGACTGTAGACGTAATTGTTCTAATTAAAGGGACTGTAGACGTAATTGTTCTATTTAAAGGGACTGTAGACGTGATTGTTCTATTTAAAGGGACTGTAGACGTAATTGTTCAAATTAAAGGAACTGTAGACGTAATTGTTCTAATTAAAGGGACTGTAGACGTAATTGTTCTAATTAAAGAGACTGTAGACGTGATTGTTCTAATCAAAGAGACTGTAGACGTAATTGTTCTAATTAAAGGGACTGTAGACGTAATTGTTCTATTTAAAGGGACTGTAGACGTGATTGTTCTATTTAA